CATCAGGTAGGCGAGGACCAGCGTGGCCGAGCGACTGCGACCCATCACGCAGTGAACCAGCAGCTTGTCTGAGACACACACAGGACAGGTGATGAGATAAACTGACACTTAACTGTAAACACACTGGTCAGTAGGGTTAGTGCGGGATGAGTGTGCGGTCAGTAGGGTGAGTGTGGGATGAGTGTGTGGTCAGGGTGGGAGTGGGATGAGTGTGAGGTCAGTAGGGTGAGTGTGGGATGAGTGTGGTCAGGGTGGGAGTGGGATGAGTGTGTGGTCAGTAGGGTGAGTGTGAGATGAGTGTGTGGTTAGTAGGGTGAGTGTGGGATGAGTGTGTGGTCAATAGGGTGGGTGTAAGATGAGCATGTGGTCAGTAGGGTAAGTGTAGGTTAAGCATGTGGTCAGTAGGGTAAGTGTAAGATGAGAGTGTGGTCAGTAGGGTGAGTGTGTGGTTAGTAGGGTGAGTGTGAGATGAGTATGTGGTTAGTAGGGTGAGTGTGAGATGAGTGTGTGGTCAGTAGGGTGAGTGTGAGATGAGTGTGTGGTCAGTAGGGTGAGTGTGTGTAAATGTGTTGTCAGTAGGGTGAGTGTGGGATAGCTTGTGGTCAGTAGGGTGAGTGTGGGATAGCTTGTGGTCAGTAGAGTGAGTGTGGGATAGCTTGTGGTCAATAGAGTGAATGTGGGATACCTTGTGGTCAGTAGGGTGAGTGTGTGAGTGTGTGTGGTCAGTAGGGTGAATGTGTGTGGTCAGTAAGGTGAGTGTAAGATGAGTGTGCGGTCAGTAGGGTGAGTGTGTGAGAGTGTGTGGTCAGTAGGGTGAGTGTGTGTGGTCAGTAGGGTGAGTGTGTGGTCAGTAGGGTGAGTGTGTGAGTGTGTGGTCAGTAGGGTGAGTGTGGGATGAGTGTGTGGTCTGTATGGTGTGAGTGTGCGGTCAGTAGCGTGAGTGTGTGGTCAGTAGAGTGAGTGTGTGAGTGTGTGGTCAGTAGGGTGAGTGTGGGATGAGTGTGTGGTCAGTATGGTATGAGTGTGCGGTCAGTAGCGTGAGTGTGTGTGAGTGTGTGGTCAGTAGAGTGAGTGTGGGACGAGAGTGAGAATTTTAAAGCTACACTGTGTCCATTAGGCGTGAGGTTCTTACTGTGCGGGTTACTGAGGACCTGCTGCATGTACTCTGCTACAGGGAAGAAGTGCTGGCTGAGGTTGAAGGAGGGAATGTCCTCGGCCTCGATGCCGAAATATTCCACACTCAGGTCTGTGTAGTAGCTCGCTCCCGTACACACGCTGTTCCTCTGACCCTCTGCTGCGTTCAGGACGTGGGTCACACCCATCCTCTCCAGTTTGTAGCGGTTCCGTGCCGTCTCCCTGAACACATACACAGGCTCAGCCTGCCACTTTATCAGAAACCCCTCTCCTGTAGCTCCACCTTGCACAGTTAGAGACTGAAGCTCATGTGTAGATGTACAGTTTGTGTTGGTCGTCCTCTAGTCCTTCATCAGTGCTCAGTTTTTGGTTACAGAGCTGGGAGTAGAAGGACAAGGTAGGTGTTTCCAATAAAGTGGCCAGTGAGTGGAAGTGCCAGGTAAGTGTTTGTAATAAAGTGGCCAGTGAGTGGAAGCACAAGGTAGGTGTTTCTAATAAAGTGGCCAGTGAGTGGAAGCATAAGGTAGGTGTTTCTAATAAAGTGGCCAGTGAGTGGAAGTGCCAGGTAAGTGTTTCTAATAAAGTGGCCAGTGAGTGGAAGCACAAGGTAGGTGTTTCTAATAAAGTGGCCAGTGAGTGGAAGTGCCAGGTGAGTGTTTCTAATAAAGTGACCAGTAAGTGGAAGTGCAAGGTAGGTGTTTCTAATAAAGTGGCCAGTTTGTGGAAGCACAAGGTAGGTGTTTCTAATAAAGTGGCCGGTGAGTGGAAGTTCCAGGTAAGTGTTTCTAATAAAGTGGCCAGTGATTATACAGGGTTAGACTATCAAACTGCTGCTTTCCAGGTTTAGAGTTTGGGTTAAAATGTTTTGGACAGCGACGTTTCTCTGTACTCACTCGTCCCCTATGAAGACGTTAGGCCACACCTCGTTGACGTGTGTCGTACGCTACACTGCCATGTGTGAGCAGTTTCTCCAGCTCATAATTGCTGGGCGTCTCATACTCCTCTTCCTCCTCTTCCTCCTCCTCAGGAGCCTCTGTTTTTACCCCAAAACTCAGTTTGTGAGATGCCATCCAGTCCAACCCTGACAGCACTGAACCACCTCAGAGAAACGATAAACAGTTTTACAGGAGAGACTTAACATGTGGGAAGAGAAGATCTGTGAGACGTCAGCCCCAGTTAGCCGCTTAGCACTGCAGGCTCAACATCTACCTCAGCTGAAAGCAATACCCCAGTCTGCTCCTCTTACCCCAAATGCCTCTTTAGCTTTGCCCTGAAACTACAAGGCCAGTGTAATCATAAATAGACGAAGGCCAGATAAAGATATTACTTTAAGCATTGTTTATTATGTATCTTAGGGATTCTGATCCTTATTTTTACTGAATATCCATTTCTCCCTCTCTCTATTCCTGGTCTACAGTAGGTCAGCATTTCCGAAGGTGCTGGAACTCACCTCTGATTTCTCTGGGAACTTTCGACTTCTCTCTTCTTGCTACACGTCTCTCAAAGGTGCAGACGTGCATGCTGGGTTTGACTGCTTTAGTCTGGAGACGCGGCTCTGCGTGCAGGCCGCCGAAGGGAGTCACATTCAGGCCTATTTATAGAATCCTGTCCCACTTCAGACGCACAGCAGGGCTGTAGGGCTTCGTGCTGGTGTTGCAGAAAGTATTAACACTTCTCTGCCTTTTTCAGTTCTGCAGTGTGGTGAACAGTTCAGTACCCAATTCAGGGAGGGTTCACCGTAAAACAGCCACTAACACTAGAACAGAGCAGATCCTGAATAAAACAACAGCTAAAGCAGTTCTGTGGTGTTGCTATGGTGTTGCTAGGTGGCGTCTATAGTGTTCCAGGGAATTGCTAGGCAGGTATTAGAAAGTTCCAGGTGGTTGCAAGGGTATTGCAGGTCGGCTACTATGGTATTCTGGGCAGTTGCTAAATTGTTGCTAAGCAGTTGCTATAATATTGCAGATGGTTGCAATGGTGCTGGTAGGTGGTCGCTATGGTGTCTCAGGCGGTTGCTAGATGGCAGCTTTGTATCCTAGGTGGTTGCTAAGGTGTTGCTATAGTTTCCCAGGTAGTTGCATTGGGGTTGCTAAGGTATTACAGGTGATTCCCTAGGTGATGGTTGCTAGTGTGGTGTTGCTGATGTGTGTCCTATGTGGTGGTGCTAGCCTAGTGGTCTATCCTCTTTCATTCCAATGGGATCACGACCCTTCGTGGACAGTCATGATGCAGGCCTTTCTGAAAACTGACTGTCGATCATGAATATTTTGTCTGTGAAGGTCTCACACTGTCACAAACATAAACTTCGTATTGCCATATGTGGCTATTATTATTATTATGATCAGTATTATTATTATTACTATATCTTTATCTTTTTTGCCACCACGTAATATATGTTAATGTCATTAAAATGTCATTAAAAAGGTAAGAATTACTTCTTCTGTCTATGGACAGCCTGTTGTGTAGCTCTTTAAACAATCTTTTAAAATGGCTCTACATTTCCTCAAAAAGGGTTTTGATATTGTTACAAGTCATAGAAAACTTTATTTAAGCAGTAGAACCCAAGAGGGAGTGTGTTGTCGCGAAATAACATCACGGCTGTGATTTGGTCGCCGTAGATCATCACAGCCGTGATGTTATTGGTGATAACACACTCCTCGAGTGTTCTATTGCTTTAATACAACAGTTAAATAAATAAAGTAATAAATTAATAAACTGGGCCGTGAACGCGGCGTTTAATATGTTTTAATGTTCGCAGTTCCTTCACTAAATTATAGTTCCTTAACAAGCAGCTTGTTGCTACGTCAGAGTAACGAGCTCCGCCCACTCGCTGCACAGCCGGCAGTTCGTTCTCCAGCTCCTTACACTAAATTCCCAAACTGTCATCACCACTGAGCAGCTTTTCAGTCGGCAGCTGTGACAGAAGAACAGCTGAACAACCTGGAATCAGCCAGAAATGAACCCAGTACCATTCGCCAAACGTGTAGTCTGATCTTCAGAGTCTGACCAAATCAGACTGAGCCATAAAACTGCCCCAATATCAAGTTCAGCTCAGTTTTGTCAGTTTTTGCCAGATCAGTATTAATGTTGTTTTGTTCCAGCCAGTCTGTAAAGCATCTTACAGCCCATTTAGTTTGGCGAATGGTGTTGGGTTCATTTCTGGCTGATTCCAGGTTGTTTAGCTGTTCTTCTGTCTCAGCTGCCGACTGAAAAGCTGCTCAGTGGTGACGACAGTTTGGGAATTTAGTGTCGTCTCATCTTCAGAGTCTGACCAAATCGGCTGTCGGTCAAATGTGATCTTAAAAGTGTCCATTTTCTGTTTGTGGCAAAGTAAGAAGTAAAAATGTTCAAATGTCTTGAGCGCCTCCTGCAGCTGTCAAAGTCGTTGCTTAGCAACGGCGTCTCAGCAGAGTGATACAGTGTTTGTGAAAAAACGTGATGTTATGGTGAAATAACAGCACAGTTAGAACGCTTCTCAACCAATCAGCTTGCCTGGCCGGAACTAACTGTTATATAATAGAAAACATTTTGTTTTATATTTTTTGATATTGTTACAAGTCATAGAAAATGTTATTTGTGTTATATATAATCCTAGTTGCTATTATTAGAGTGTGGTTACACTCTAAACTCTTGTAAATATGTATTTTTATTTACAGTTTATGGAGTAAAGAATGTAGTAAACTGTTCGTACAGGCTCGGTCCTTCAGTCATGTTCCTGGATTACAAATGGCACCAGCAGGAGTGACAGACTGACCTTGTTTCACACGTAAGACCAACATTCACAAATCCATAACACAATAAACAGGTGTGTGATGAAGGAATAAATGTCCACTGGATCTGTTTAAACAGGGACTTATTGCGAATAGTCAGGATGGAAGGCTTCTGTTGGCTGTTTGTCTCTGCAGTGAGAGTTCAGTGTCCAGTTCTCTGAGCTGCTGAAGGAATCCAGCGTTGGGCAGGATGCTCCGGTGTGACCGCACAGCCTGAATCGCCTCTGAGAGAGTGAGACCCTCATAGATCATCAGATACGCCAGCACCAGAGTGGCGGAGCGGCTGATTCCTCGGGCGCAGTGCACCAACACTTTACCTGCTGAACAACACACAGGTGTGTTTTTATAGGATTGTTTTGTAGCATTCAAAATACTGGAAGCATTTATCATATTAATAACTGTTATTCAGTAATAACTCAGACTGAAATGAGTGAAGCATGAATGAAGTTACAAGCCTGACATCGTAACAATAGCAGAACCTTTTTTGTGTTACATAGAACCATTGTCAAACAGGTTTTATACCCTTCCTTGTGGTGGTTTAGCTGCAGCTCCGTTAAGTGACCCTTATTAGTCTCACAACTGGGAAATTTCACCACATACACACTAGTGAACACACACACTAGGGGGCAGTGAGCACACTTGCCCAGAGTGGTGGGCAGCCCTAGCCACAGCTCCTGGGGAGCAGTTGGGGGTTCGGTGTCTTGCTCAGGGGCACTTCAGTCACATACTGTCGGCTCAGGGGATCGAGCTGGCGACCTTCTGGTCACAAAGCTGGTTCCCTAACTTCCAGCCCACGACTGCCCCCAGCTCTATCACCTGTACAGTGTGTTGGTGGTGGAGTGTGTGAGTGTGTGTTCAGTGCTCTTACAGCTCAGGGTCAGGGCGGAGCGTATGAAGTGTGCGGTGGGATAGAAGAACCGGGAGATGTTGAAGTCTCTGCTGTCCGGAGCCTCCACTCCATAATACTGGATCTGTATGTGGGCGTGTGAGTAGAAGGCGGCGCCCGTGTGGATGCGGGACGGCCCGTCCGCAGCGTTCACAACGTGAGTCACTCCCAGAACCTTCAGCAGCTCCACATCCTTCGCTGTGCGCCTGACACACAAACAAAACTCTCTTACGCTTTATTACTGTATAACAGCTTCATCAGGTTAGTGCAGCATCACAGTGGACAAGAGAGACCAAGACACAGGGGGCGCTTTAAAGAGCTCTTTTCATCGAACAACTCGTTTTCCTCACTTTCCCAAAAATTCCCTGACCGGTCCATACAGTCCAGATATGAAATCTAAGCTGCAAAAATAGCCTTCATAGTCAGATTTGAATCAGATTCAAAACCACCTACAGATGTGGCTTGAACTGTACTGAAATAAGTCAGATGTAACTTGGATTTGTTGCTGTTCACACTATAGAAAATCTGTCCTTCTTAAATTAGTTACACCGAAAAACAAGGCCTACAGTCTTAAGTGGTTCTTCAAGGGTTCATTAGTAAAGACAATGGCTCTATTTAGAGCCATGAGTTCTATATAGAACCATTTCATGCTTAAATGGTTCTTTGCATGGTGAAGTGGCTCTTCAGATTAATGGACAATGTGTTGTATTAATGGTTTAATATAGAACCTTTATGAAAATGGTTCTGTGTAGCACCAAAAATGGTTCCTCTATTATTACAAGCTTGACATCGCACCCTTTTTGGTGCTATATTGAACCAAAAAGGTTAGAACCAAGGTGCGAAATACCAGGGAGCCCCCTAAATGTCTCAAAAGCAAAACTCTGAGGGGTCCCTGAAATAACCTTATAGAACTAGAACTCATAACCATTAGCCAACTGTGTTTTGCACACAGAGGAATTAGACCTCCACATTTAACCCATCCGTGCAGTGAAACACCCACATACATGCACACTAGTGAACAGACACACTAGGGGGCAGTGAGCACAAGCGGTGGGCAGCCCTATCCACGGTGCCCAGGGAGCAGTTGGGGATTAGGTGCCTTGCTCAAAGGCACTTCAGTCACGTACTGTCAGCTGAGGGGATCGAACCGGCGACCTTCCGGCCACAAAGCTGGTTCCCTAACTTCCAGCCTCACGATTGCCCCGAATTATTATGACGTTATTAGTCAATCAACCTTTATTTCAACTCAGAAGTACATTGAGGGTGACCCTCATTTACAATGTAGCCAAGTGAATTACACAGAGAGAAAAAGTTGAAATGAAATTTACTGACCAAATCAAAATCATCAACACAAAAAGATTTACATAAAACAATAATAACACACAAATTTTCTAAGCCACTTATCCTTCTGGGTCGCGGGTGGTGGTCGAGCCTATCTCAGCAGTCATTGGGCAGAAGGCATGAAACACCCTGGACTGGTCACCAGTCCATTACAGGGCAGACAAACATACAGACAGACACATTTACACACACACACACCTAGGGGCAATTTAGCATCTCCAATTAGCCTGACTGCATGTCTTTGGACTGTGGGAGGAAACCGGAGAACCTGGAGGAAACTACACAGATATGGGGGGAACATGGAGACTCTGGCTGCCCAGCCAGAGAACCGAACCCAGGCCTTTCTTGCTGAGAGGCGACAGCGCTACCCCCTGCACCACCGTTCTGCCTATAATAATAATGGTAAATAAATAAAATAAGAGTTATTATTATTATGCTGTCTATTAGGGAAAAGTAGACGCCCAAATACAAATTCTGTGAAGCTGATTGTTTATCTGCTTCACCCACAAATCAGCTTCTGTCTGTGGTGTTCTTAACTAACCAGAGCTGCAGCACTGCTCTGCCTCAGGGTGGCGCTGTAGCTGACTCAGTTAATGTGAGGAAGAGCGCAGAACCACACTAGAACAGAGACTCTACAGATGAGGAGACGAGGAAGATCTCAGTTAATGAGAGGAAGAGCGCAGAACCGCACTAGAACAGAGACTCTACAGAGACTTTTACAAACATTTACTGCCATTGAAGCATCAGTGCCGCTATAGTGAAGGAGTTAGCAGCCAGTATTGGGACCCCCGAATACCAGGGGGGCGTTTCACATACTGGTAAGAACCAAATACAACACATTCTACCTCAGTCTGAAGAACCATTTCACCATGAAAAGAACAATTTAAGCAAATGGTTCGTTGGGTGTTTGTGGTTCTATATAGAACCATTGTCTTTACTAACGAACCCTTGAAGACACATCTGTTTTAGGAGTGTACATAGTACCAAAAAGGGTTCTACTATTCTTAGAAGCTTGACATTGTAACAGTGAAAGAACCTATTTGGTGCTCTATAGAACCATATGCAACACGTTCTCCAATCTGAAGAACCATTTCACCATGCAAAGAGCCATTTAAGGATGAAATGGTCTTAAACAGAACCATTGCCTTTACTAAAGAACCCTTGAAGAACATCAAGAGTGTAAATAACCTCAGACAGACTTAAGTGATTTAGCTGAACTGTGTCTTTAATGTCTGTAAAGCTCTATCATGCGTGCGCAGGTGTTGGAGATTTGGGTTCTCCTGGGTTCTACGTACGCATCAGAGATGATGATGTTGGGCCAGACCTCGTCAAACGGGTCAGAGGGGCGGCGGCTTTTTAACAGGAGGTCCAGCAGCTCACAGGTGGGCGGAGTCTCATAGCCAAACTTCAGATGTCCGTCTGCAGCTCTTTCCTCCCTTCTCTCCATTCTTCCTACAGCTGCTTAAACACAGTCGTCTGTTGGTCAGTCTGTAGAGCTTCTGACCTGTGCGATGTTTACTTTGTGCACAATTACACCACCAGTCAAAAGTTTTTGGTCTAAAGCAGGGGTCGCAACCCAAATGTTAAAAGAGTCATTTTCTCCTTTCAACAAAAATCAAATGGGAGCCACAAAATGTTGGGAGCCACAACATTTCATGTCCATTTTACCATTTTGGCTGTAAATATGTCTCAGTATGTGCTAAAGTACTAGTATAGACTAAAAATATAATATAAACAAAAACACAGACTTACTTTGCTCTGCTTTAATCTTTAGCTCAGCTGTAGCTGCTTTTTTCACATCTCCAGCAGGAAACTTTTTCTCAAAAGTAGAACAGTTTCTTGTAAAATGAATCTCAACATTCGACTTTTTACGAGGCTGAAGTCGCTTCTCATTCACCAGCTTCTTGTTCGAATTTTCCCGTTCCACCTTAATTGGTGCAGCAGTTACATTGTGGCACCTCAGGCACCATTTAAGGTGGAACGGGAAAATTCGAACAAGAAGCTGGAGAATGAGAAGCGACTTCAGCCTCGTAAAAAGTCGAACGTTGAGAGACATTTTACAAGAAACTGTTCTACTTTTGAAACTTCAGCCTCGCGACTTTTTAGTGTTTGTCAGTTTCTCGTTGCAGATTAAACGTATCAGGAAACCAGCTGGAGTGATTATAAACACTAATAAGTCCATTCATCTCCAAATTATCGATGTTCATCTTAAATCTCTCTCTTTGCCGTTTCGTTAGCTACTAGCTTGGCAGGATTGTTGTCTGTGTTGCTATGGTGACCAGCAGTCTGCGCTGATCTTCAGGGTTAAAGGGTGAATCAGCAGTTCTACATTAACTCCAGAGTTTAAGACCATTTACTGTTAAACTGTGTTGAACGATCAGCAGAGCTTTATTTTACTGTAAAGGAGGATTATTTTATTTTTACCTACTAATCTGATTCAGCTGTGGAGCCACAACAGGGCAGTAAAAGAGCTCTGGAGCCGCATGTTGCCGACCCCTGGTCTAAAGGCTTGTGCTTATATTAAAAATGTTTTAGAGTTGAATATTAATATGCCACAGCCATCCATGGCCGGGAGTCCAAGACAGCACATCTGGCCTTGCTCTCTGGGAGAGCAGGATGGCTCCCTGTCTTCTCCCATTATTGTAGAAAATATTATAAGATGAGCTGATTTAAAAGTATAATTATGGACGGGCAATCCTGGCAACAATTAACAGTGTGTAATATAATCCATTACAGGAGTACTGAGTGAAAATCCCAGGCTTTTATTAAATAAAAATCCCAAAAATGTGACAAAAATGAACAAATGTGATGTCGTTTTAGCATGGTGGAGGGATACATGCAGGGCGCTGTGAGGCACAATAGTCCCCAAAGAAAACGTATTATTTCAGATTTTCCACTATTTTCCGTCATCAACATTCCATATAAACTCAGAAGACTCGTGTAGGTTCACTGGTGGTTCTGGATAGTAAATAAAATGTCTATATTTGTGTTGTAGTCATGGCGACCCTGGTTCCTATCACCACCACTGTAAAAACATCTGAACCATTTCACACCAAACCACTCCCAAATCACACTGTTTGGCTTTGGAGCAACCTTTTATTGGATGCTTATTCGTTTGTGTTAATGGGAGGTACAGGTTTAAAGAACCTCTATGTAATGTAAACGTTCTATGGCAATAAAAGATTTTTTTCTAGAACCGTACATCCAAATCGAGAACCATCTAGGAAGCTTTCATTTGAAGAGTGTAGGAGAAACTCACGGAGGCTTGTTTACCTGAACTCCTTCACGGCTGCCTGCGGACTGCGGCTCTGCGGTCCTGTGTGAATTGCGGTGAGCTGATTGTATTTTCGGCTGTGTTTGTCACTGAGATAAATTTAAACGTTCAGCAGAGCCTCAGACTCCCTCAGACAGCTGAGAATGTGTTTAGAGTGACACACTATGTGCCCTCAGCTACTGTACACTCTCAAAGAGGAATTCCACTGGATTTCCAAAAATTCCTGCATAATTAAATGGTTAAGATGTAATCAGAGTCGTTCAGAGCAGTTTGGTGTGAAACGCTCTGTTCTAGATAAACTTACAGAGTCAGAACTGTTCACAGTGGTGGTGATAGGAACCAGACGTCCACCTCTGAAAGCTCCCTCACAGAAAGTTACTACATGAAATGGTTATGAATTCACTGGCTGATGACTGAGACACTGTTTTATGATAGATTTGGAAAGATTTTTGCCATATATTTAAACTCCATTCACAGTAGAGGAGTATATCACTGCTGTCGGAACAAAACCTCGTATCTCCATTTTTGACATTTTTTGGTTTTTGACATAATTTGAAAATGCCTGTTGACCTTTACATTGTATGTAAATTTCATGATGAACGGACCAAAAGAAATGACTGAAAATTGCTTGAAAAAAAGTCTGGTTCCATTGACTTACATTGAATTGCTATGAGGCAAAATAATCCCCAAATAAAAATTGTTAATTCAGATTTTCCACTATTTTCCATCATCAACATTCCATATAAACTCAGAAGACTCGTGTAGGTTCACTGGTGGTTCTGGATAGTAAATAAAATGTCTATATCTGTGTTGTAGTCATGGCGACCCCTGGTTCCTATCACCACCACTGTAAAGACATCTGAACCATTTCACACCAATCTATTTATGGACTGAAGAGGGAACAATTAAACTCTTATATTTCAAAAAAGTGAGTAAACTTTTTGAGTTTTTTGAGCACTTTCAGTAAGATAAGAAAGGCACACAAGTTAAGCTCATATAAACTCTCCTTTGAGTGATAAACTCCGCCACTGTGGTCTAAATTAAATTAAAGTCACACCCACTGCTTTCCTGTTTTCCCTCGTGCCACACAGAGTAGCAGATCATTGGTCCATAGAAAGGTTGGCTTCTCAGTGAGCTGAGTGGGTTAACCCTTGTGTGGTGTTGGTGTGTTTGTGACTCAGTGGTCTGGTGACCCACTGCATTATTGTTTATTTAAATCAATACAGTCATAACAATTTATGTAAAAATACCAGATGTTTAAAATATCACAAGTGTCCAGTGTAGGGTTCTCCTTTAGCAGCTGTAGCCAGTCAGCAGCCTGTCCATGTTGTCCACCCTCACACACACACACACACACACACACACACTAACAGCAGGCCATGTAGGAGAAGAACAGAGTGAAGGACCCAGCACCTCCACACTTTTACTCCCCGCAGGTTCACCCAACACCACATGTGTAATATAAACGTGTGGGGGGTGAACAGAGTGAAGACACTGAAAATGGGTTATTTTATATGTTCTTCACAGAAAATGAGCGAAGGCCAAGAATCTGAGGCTGAAATAATAATAAATCACATCATTTTTTCTTTTGGTAAACACTGAAAATGGGTCCCACAAATCTGAACACCACATAAGGGTTAAACTAGTAGCAGCTCTAGTAAAACAGCTGACCTTCATCACTTCATAGCTTTAGCTTGGCCTCATGAGAAGTTTGAGTAGAAATTGCAAACATGCTCAAATGTTCAACTACTAAATAGTGAGAAACAACCACAAAAACAGCCTTATAACTCGATATAGAGTGTGTTTACATGCACTCAGTAATCCGATCATATTCGGATTTCTGCAGTTATCTGATTATTCAAATGGTCGTGTAAACAGCATACGCTGTTTCCCTAGATCGGAGTAAGGTCCAGAAGGTCTAGATTTATCTCAGTAATCAGATTTCTCAGTGCATGTAAACTCTTACTCTGATTTCTTTCGGATTTCTCAGTCTCTGCATGCACAAGATCAGACTGCAGTACTGGAAATAAACAGCATGTCACACATGTATTTGGTTTCAGAGTCGCTCCAAAAGTGTTTTGCTGCGTCTCGTGGCGACGCTGAAACCAAATACATGCGTGACGAAATGAAGGATTTAAATTTACTAGATGATGTTTGTTCATATTTTCAGGTAAAGTGGTGTGATGTTTAAAAAAAGCCGCATTATGAAGTTTGAGGTTTACGTTATGTTTACGTCACGTCGTCTTCTGTGAGTTTATTGGCTGGTTGTAAAGCAGAAATCTGATTACTGCCTGACTCATGTAGACCTGGAGTTTCCCCATTATCTGATTACCCAAGTGCATGTAAACGTGTTGATCATATTACTGACAAAATCTGATTTTCTGCAGTTATTGGATTATTAAGTGCATGTAAACACACTCACTGTCGCTGGTATCTCCAGAATGGTGACAGGAGAAGAGAATAATGTCTTAGCTTTGAACCGAAGTTAAATTTACCCTGTTCTTCAGTGGTCAGGACCCCCATGGACCCTCACAGAGCAGGTACTGTTTGGGTGGTGGGTCATTCTCAGCACTGCAGTAACACTGACGTGGTGGTGGTGTGTTAGTGTGTGTTGTGCTGGTCTGAGTGGATCAGACACAGCAGTGCTGCTGGAGTTTTTAAACACTGTGTCCACTCACTGTCCGCTCTATTAGACACTCCCACCTTGTCAGTCCACCTTGTAGATGTAAAGTCAGAGACGATAGCTCATCTGCTGCTGCACAGTTTGTGTTGGTCATCCTCTAGTCCTTCATCAGTGGTCACAGGACGCTTCCCACAGGACGCTGTTGGCTGGATATTTTTGGTTGGTGGACTATTCTCAGTCCAGCAGTGACACTGAGGTGTTTAAAAACTCCAGCAGCACTGCTGTGTCTGATCCACTCAGACCAAACCAAACACACACTAACACACCACCACCACGTCAGTGCCACCCAAATCATACTTGCTCTGTGGGGGTCCTTTGGGGGTCCTGACCACTGAAGAACAGGGTGAAAGGGGGCTAACAAAGTATCAGAGAAACAGATGGACTACAGTCTGTAACTGTAGAACTACAGAGTGAAACTATATGGTCAGTGGAGCTGATAAGATGGACAATGAGTTGGACTTAATTAAGTGGCCGTTGCACATAATTATGTTTATAATCAAATAAAGCTGAGCAGCTTAAAACCACACTTTTACAGTATGTTAGCTAACACTAGCCTAGCCTAGCATTAACCTCCATTTACACTGAATGATAACCTCAAACCCACCCAGTAGCTAATGAGCTGTAGCTAATCCTACTGTTACCCTGTTTATTTTGAAATGGAAATTTACACCAACTAGTTTGGTTGGGGAAGTGCAGTCATCTCCATAATTCTTGGCACCCTTGGTTATGGCACTGTTGGAGACTGTTGGTTAAAAAAGAACATGGACAAAAAAGTCTTTGTAGTCAATTAGCTCACTGAACCTAATCTAATATCTATCTAATATCTAAAATCTAATTACCTATCTAATAATTTAGTGATTATCTATCTAATTAAAATTCATTTAGTCTAAGAAAACAAAAACCCTTATCAAGATTATCAAGAAAACCACCTGTCACAATTATTGGCACCCCAGAAATTATTATTATAATATATTATAATATTATTATATTATGAACAAAATGTAACTGAATCATGTTTGCATTAATATTTTTCAGGAGATTTTTCTGGCCATCCATTACGTCATGTTTCACTGCGATGTAAATATGAGGTGACATTAACCTATATAATTAAATCGGCAGTGTCTATAATAGCTTTTAACCCATCTTTACCAAGAGTGCCAATAATTTTGGAGCTAACTGCAGCAAATCATAACCCCTAACACTAAACTTAACTCTTTTATTTTGAAGGAACACTTTACATCCAGCCAATCAGGGTCTTTGCCTGCCTAATCTAGGGCGTCACATCGTTGGCCTGTGGGGCGTTATAAACGGCTGGTTGGTGTAGAAGACCAGCACTAGGAGGCGCTGCCCTGGTAGTGCAGCTGTTTGTCCAGCTGGCGGAGCTGCTCCATAAATCCAGTGTTGGGGCAGATGTTCCTGTTCTCTGCCACGGCTTTGATGGCCTCCACCAGCGTCATGTTCTCGTGGATCATCAGGTACGCCAGCACCAGCGTGGACGAACGACTCAGGCCCATCGCACAGTGCACGAACACCTTACCTACAACACAGCGTACAGCAGCTTATCGGCATAGTAGGCCTAATCAAACAGTACAACAATACACAAACACCTTACCTACCTACAACCTACACGAGTCTGAGTTTATATGGAATGTTGATGATGGAAAATAGTGGAAAATCTGAAATAATCAGTTTCTTTCTGGGCTTTTTTGCCTCACAATATCCTGCAATGTGTCCCTCAACTGTGAATGAATTTTTAAAAATTTGTTTTAGTTGGAAACCTCATTAAAACTATCGGAAAACAGTGTTTCAGTCATCAGGCAGTGAATTCATAACCATTTCATGTAGTAACTTTCTGTGAGGGATCTTTTAGAGGTGGACGTCTGGTTCCTATCACCACCACTATGAACAGTTCTGACTCTGTAAGTTTCTCTAGAACAGAGCGTTTCACACCAAACCTTTTTGCTGGTAATTTTTGCACTTCTCCCTAAGCTGTTTTTAGAAAAGTACAGACCTTATTTCACAAAGTGACTATTTTTACTGAAATAAAAATAGTATCTTGTCAAGTGAAATGATCTTAAATCTAGTCAATATATCTAATGTTTCCCATATTGACATGGTTGTGCACTGATTATAAGATTATCCAGCTTATTTCTAGACAATATTTCTTGTTTTAGGTCATTTTATTTAGTAAAATTATCTCACTATACTGGCAGAAGTTTCAAGCACATTTCTTAAAACAAGCAAAACTATCTGCCAACACAGTGACCTAATAAAACCACTTAAAACAAGTAAAAATGAAGTAAGGTATATAATCTTAAATTAAGCTTACAACAGTCTCAACAGGAGAAATATTAGATTAATCTTTAAGATAATTTTACTTCACAAGATACCATTTTTTGCAGTGTGTGAGGGCCTGTGGTCAGAAACTGGCCAATGATGGGCTATAGTCTGTAATTATACACCTATATAGTCAGTCTATATGGCAGCTGGAGTTCATAAAGTGGTCACTGAGTGGAAGCACAGGGGAGGGGTTTGTACTAAAGTGTCCAGTGACTTTGGCCTGGACTCCTACACATGCACTTCACCTCCTCACCTCCGGGGGTGCT